ATACCTCCAAAGTTATTTTTATTGCATTACAAAGTCGCCATCAATGATACCCTTTGCTATTTGTTTAGCCCTCCATGCCCTCGACATTGATATTCCAGTGAAATAATTGGCTTGAATTTCACTAACTATATCTTTCAATGCCATGTCACTAGTTGTGGCTTTCATTTTGTTAATCAAAACCTTGGCAACCCAGGAAGACTTTGCACATCTATTATGAAAAACCCTTCCACATGTGTGTTTATCATGCAAAGTATTCAACCTATAAGTCTTAGAATTGCTCACCTTGCTTACATAGAAAAAGTACTCAACACAATGTCTACACTTTGCCTTGGCCCTCCTCTTGTTGTTTAAGTCAAGCCTTATCTCCTTTCCATTCAACACATTGTACTCTACAATTGCTTCTTTAAACTCATTAATAGAACCAAATTCCAATCCTAACTTTCATTTGAAGTCTTTGTTCAGCAAATCCACATTAAACCTCTCATATTTTCTACGTAGGCCATCCTCCTCAGAGTCATCAATTTTCAGAGTCACTAACATACCCATGCTCAATATCTTCTTCTACTCTTTGTGAATTATAAAATTCACTAGCATTTACAAAACCTTTGTTATGTAGTCCAAAATTCTCTCTATTTCTATTCATATCCTTTTTTCTAACACATTTTCCTTTTTTTTTTCCAGCAACAACATTGGCACTAGCACCAGCATCATTTCCAGCATTTCTAGTAGCACCAATATCATCATTTCTAGCAACACCAACCTCATCATTCCCAACAACACCAGCATTCCGAACACCAATAGGTCTTTATGTGCATTGCTTTGCAGAGCACTTGGTAAGTCACGTTTAGGGGTGGAGATTCCAACATCCTCTTCATCCTCAAAAACCTAAACTACTTCTACTCTGACAACTTCAAAGTCATGCATGGTTGTGAATAGTATGAGCAACATCCTCCTGCTCCTCCTTAGGATCATCATTTTGTTTCCTTGCAACTATCTTCTTTTGAGTACGTTTGAATCGACCAAATTCAGGAACTTCTATATCAAATTCATCATCCAATCCAGTAACACTCTCCTTCTCTGAATCATCTAATCGAACATCCCTCACAGAGTCATCATTACTATTAGAGAAATTGTCCCCAAGAACACCTTCATTGCCACCATCACAAACTGCAAACATTTCCACTTCCACTTTGTTAGTAATTGCAAAGTTTGCCATGTTTAATGCAACACTATCACAATTTATCTCTTTGAAATCAGAAGCACCAAATTTCTACCACAGCCCAACAGAATGCTCTCCATATGCCAAGTCTTCTTTTACAATTCCCAGGGCTTTAAAATAGGACCACCTATCCATATCCATATTGTTCACACACATTGGCTCGCTGCCCACAACATAATGCATCACAAGGTCTAACTAAAAAACGACTCCCGTGATGAAGTATCAAATTGAAACCCATCAACACAACTACAAAGGAACCAAATCTTTGTGTAAAAAAAAAGTTCATCAAACGAATAGTTAAAACCTATTAAATTATAAACCCTAATAATGTAAACAACCACTTACCTTCAACACAAACGGAGAATGACAAGGGCTTTGTCGAGAACATCTTTGGCAGTGCTTCAACAACGATAACAACTTCGTCTATTTATGGCTACAAAATCTCACCTTTTTAATAGGTTTCCTCCACGAATGGTCAATAAAAATCGACGCTTCAAACGCAAGGAATAGAGAACCATGTAGAATGTGCGTTTCCAAAATGAAGAACAACAAAAACGGAGATGAATGACAAAAATGAAGAATGGGAATGAAAATGATGCGAAATTATGTAATGACCCAGCTGGTCATTACACACCGCACAACACACTAGAAACACCACACAGAAAGGGACAAGTGTATACATATAGGGTCTCGAATATATACATATACAAGTCCAAGTCTGGATAAAGTTAAAGTGTACAAAATACATCAAATGCTACTACATCAAGTAGTTAAAACAACAAAACATCCTAAAAGATCAGCTCCGTCTGCCAGCTACAGACTTACCACCAGCCATCAACCTATCCCTGCTCTGCTCCCATACATAGTATGATCATTGCAGTCCAAATACCATGAAAACAACAAAGGGTAAGGTAGTGAAAAGAAATCAACATACATAAATAACAATATGAATGTAAACAACTCCAGCAATCAACACATCACCCAGCTTATACTACACCACAACATTCAGCAAATATCAGCACCGCAAAGTGACAATATCAGCACTGCATAGCAGCAATTAGAGCACCACTCTAATGGCTATAACAGCACCGCTTAGCGACAATAACACTGACTTAGCGGCAATAACAGCACCGACTTAGCAACAATAACAGCACCACCATAGTGGCTATAACCAACATACAGCTCAGCAATATACAGCACAGCCAAACCCCTCACAACCCAGCTAACATAGCTCACCACACAGCACAGCAAATCAGCATACAACACAACTAAGTACTATTCAACACAGCTTACTACTCACAACTCAGCTCAACATTCTATAGTACAACAATATTATAACTCAGCATTAGAATCATCAATAACAGCTCAGCTCAACACGGCAATATACATCTATTACAGCTTAACATCATTAGTAAGCATTATCATCTAGTCAGCACAACATATTCATCAATTACAGCTTAGTTCAGCATGAAAACAGCATCTCCCAGCAATTTTAGCATATACATCAACAACTATCAGCATATAAGTCAACATCATCATACGCGCCCGGTGCACTCATGGTCGCGCCCAGCGCGGCTCAACTAGAGAACATCAAGGGCCAGCGTGCCCGGCACAAGAGTGCTCGCGCCCGGCGTGACCCAGCCAGAGAGCCCAAGGCTCTTACGCGCCTGGCGCAATACAAAATTGTGCCCAGCGCATGTCCAGGCAGAGACCCTAAGGAGTCTCGCGCGCCCGGCGTGCCCTAACCCGCGCCCAGCGCGGGGAAGGTAGAGACCTCCCAAGGTCTCGCGCCCAGCGCAATTTAAATTGCTCCCAGCGCTCCCATGGTAGAGACTCCCAAGGAGTCCCCGTGCCCAGCGCGAAGAGGGTCGCGCTCAGCGTGGAACCAAAACCCCAAAACATGTCACATACTGCTAGTGCGCTCGGCGCGATCCATGTCACGCCCGGCGTGGGCCATCCAGAGGCTCACCTTCTCAAGCTCGCCCGGCGCACATATCTTTGCGCCCGGTGGGCTTCCCTAAAAGGAGCCTCCAGGTGGTCTCGCGCTCGGCGCGAAGAACGGTGCTCAGCGCGAGGCTCAGCAACAACCTACCAAGTTCGAAAATTTTCCCAAAACCTGCAAAAATCCACTCATCCAGCACATGCAAACCAGCCAAAAGTTCACATTTTCATCAAGCATCAAGAAAAAAACCTCATTTTCATCATGCAACTTCAAATCAAAGAAAATCCCCAAATTTCTTCAAAACCCCGAAAACTCCAAAACTTCATTTTCAGCAATCTCAGCCCGAAAATCATCTAAACATCAGCCCACAAATGAGTTTATGAACTCACCCTCAGCAAAACACAACCAAAAACTAGCTTCCCTTTCCTCGGCACAAGAATCCCGAGCCCCGGGCCGAAGAAGACAAGGGAGAAGGAGAAGAAACTCAACGAGGAAGAAAGGAAATCCGTCCGGCACACTCAAACAACTCTAATCAGCACCTAGAATCCAAGCAAAAGATGAAAAGTGAGAGTTGGAGAGGGAAGAAGAGAGTGTATCAGCAAAAGTGAGTGAGTAGAGAGTGTGAGTGAGAAAAGAGTGTCGGGGAGAGAAAAGGAAAAAGGAAAAAGGGGGTCTCACAAATTACAACTTCAAGATTTTGAAGAACAAAAAGGAACAATTTTGTAGCTTACGAAATTAAACGTTCAAGTTGAAGATGAATATAATAGATTCAATTTTTGAGTTTGTCAAGTTCAAACATCGAATGCGTGAAACGGATTTTAAAAAAAAAATTAAAATCTGATGTGACCAATGCTATGGAGAGCGAGGTGGACATTTAGATGATATAACAGACATTGTTGGGTGATGACGTGATAGTCTGCCAGTCACGTCATCACTTAATAGAAGGGGACTAACGTCAGGTACTAAATTAAAAAAAAAAATTAATAGGTAATAATTTAAAAATCCACCTAATTGGAGGTAGTTTAAACATATTTAAACCATTATAATTATCTCTGCCAAGTGGCTAACATATTCTTTAACACATTCGACACACACTCCAATATTTTTTTATTATTGTTAGTTAAGATTTATTTTTGTTTGTTAAAATTTATTAAAAGGAATAAAATTAAAAGAGAGACTAGTTAAATATAAAACAAGACTCATATAATTTTTAATAAATATTGTTCGTTAAAATAGCTAAATATTTTATTATTATTTCCATTTTCCGGTCTCATCCTGAATTACCATCTGAAAAATGTTGATTGTTAAACTATAATCCTTGTAGAGAAATAATATTTTACTTACTACGTATTATTACTTGTACTAAGTAGTATACTTGTCATGTCTCCAATACTTGTCATGTGATGAAATATGGGTTGATAATTCATAATTTCACCGGAAATTTTTAAAGAATGTTAGTAGTTAGTTCTATATTTATATGAATTGGTGACTTGTTTTAAGATAAGCTTTTTCCATTACCAAAAAGAAAAATCTATATGGTAAATTAACTAACCAAGGGATGGTACATCAACGTTTCCACGAAGATCAATTCCATATTATTGTGTTGTCTGCACATGAGATTTCATTCTTGTGGTTGTTTGAAGCAAGGAGCCTATTTATTACCCTCGGTACATGGATCAAAGAGGCAGGGTAAACTTGGTGATTGGTTTGAGCATTGTACAGTATAATTATCTGTGCTTTAGGTTTAAGGATATATAAGTACAACTTTCTTATTAGTTCCTAGTCTTTAAAACTGTTTGACAGCAAGAAACTGAGTGGATGAAAAAAATGATGTACACAAAACAAATATTTTTCATAAAGAATATATGACCCTGAATAGTGTTTTTGAATCAAAACAAACAGACATTGAAAACGCTTCGTGTATCATGAAGGATACATGTACAGTACACAATTCATAACCGAAAAATAAATTCAATCTCGTACAAAACAATTTTCTTTTGTCTTTAGTTGCCTACATAGACCTATAAAACATATGCTGAATGCTTCACTTTGGTAATGAATTAGTTCACTTTCCTGCAGTTCAAGCGAATTTCACCTCTATTCCCAGTGAGAGGTTTTATGTTTCCCATCTTAATCATAGAATTTGCAAAGTCCTGATGGAAAGAAACGGTATTGTGCTTATATTTTTTAACCAATTCATCGGTAGAACCACCATTGAAGAGTTCTTGATCGGAGTGAAGAACCCCTTTGTTATGAACCAAATCTTTGTAATAGCCCGAATCAAAGTTGGCTGCTGTGCGGTCCAAAGGAGTAAGGTTGAAGTCACCTCCTTCTCTAGGGCAAATGTACTTGAGCTCTTTTGCAAACTGGGGACTGATGTTAGAGTCGTTGTAGATGTGATCTCTAAACGTAGCACAACGTGCATATCCAATTGAGTGGCCTCCAGAAAGAACAACGAGGTCCTTCTCGTTTAGGCCATGGCTCTTGAAGTTGCCAATAAGTTCAGAAAGGCTGAAAAATGGTGCTGGAATGTTTGCATCTGCTGCTTCGCGGCTTGCTGTGGTGGAGTCTCTTCTCCCCAGTGTCACCTTCCATGTTGGACCACCTAACTGCATGGGACATGCACATCATTGTTAATATCAATTTTATTTCATGTTACTAAAAGCAATATTATGCTCTTATATACTTTTTTGGTAACATTTTTGCATGACAGGTAATATTCTTTTATCATATCTATATATACACGTCACACGCTTCAAAAATGTGAAAGTAAGGACAAAACGGGAGTTCGAAGAAAGAGTAAAAAAATGCGTACTCTTTTTTAATTTGTGCAAAGGTTTAAGAAGACATGTTGCAAAATATTCAAAGTTATATTCTTGTATTTAAATACCATATGGATACCGGCCTAGTCAGAAAATAAAAATAAAATTATTACGTTAGTTTGGTTTACCTGTTCCCTCTATATGTTTTCAAAAAGGAAAAAAGATATCATTATTTTATGCTTCCTCTATTTGACATGGTAACCGAATGATATAAAAATTCTACTAGATCAATTCAAAATATTAAGGACAATAAAAAATATTAATTGTACTACAAAAATATATAACAAAATTTATATATATATAACAAAGAGAAGTATGAAGGTATAATAAATAACACGATAGAAAAAGATAAACACAAGTGTAAACTAGTATATGAATCGTTGTATATATCACACCTCAAATATAAACTAAACCAATAAACATTCAACTCAGCCTTAATAAGTGGTAGTAATTAAGTAGTAGTATTACTCACAGCAACAACAGAGTCACGAGCTGCAACAGCCAATATGTCAGCGCAAGAAACAACTGGTTTTCCACATGCTCTGTCCACTGCCTCCTTGATCTCATCCACCACTTCAAAACCTCTAGCAGATTGAAAATTAGGACGTGCATTTTTTTCGCTGTCAATGGTGGGTGAAGGGTCTAGTAGAATTGAACCATCACAACCCTGAGTCACCATCACAAAGCCAAGTGATTTATTATGAGACTCCACCAATATTTACATAAACTAATATCTTAGTACTATTATACTAACGTATATGTATAACACGCAAATATAGAAAGACTTACGTTAACAAAACAATCATGGAAGTGCAATCGCAGCAATGAAGCGCCCATACGGTACTCTTTCTGCACCGCAGCCTCCACAACACTTCGAATGGTGTTCAAAGCGTTAGGGCAAGAGTAGTCATAGTAATTTGTTGACAATGATGAAAATGCTGTAGTTGCAAAAGCTGTAAACACAAGGGCATAGAGGACAACAGAGAAACATTTATGAGACGCCATTTGTATTATGCAATGAATGATGAATAATCTTTGGCAAGATAACAAATGAAGATAGAACAAATATTATTGGCTTATGGGAATTTGGGTTGCTACAATCCCTTTATATTTATAGAGACGAAGAACTACGCTATATCATACCTAGTTGGTGGTAGACTGGGCCTGAAATTTGACCTATTCGTGGAAAGAAACATTCATCAAGGCATTAATGAAATACTCAACTTGCAAGAGTGTTTCTCTTGGCTATGTTTAAGAAATTGGGAAAAAGAATTTGTCATTGATTGATTTAGTCCATGGGATTTGTTAATCGAAAGTCAACCATATATATAAAAAGATTAGGTAAAAAGGGGAATAACGGGAAACGTACATGGAATACATTTTAGCAATAACTTATTAAATTTTGACTTTCCAAATTGAAATGTGGTTTTACGTTTTTCACAATTATTGTTTAAGTAGGACATTTATAGAAAATAAAATTGGAAGTAACACTTTAACGAAGCTGCAATATATGTCGTGAGATGATTATGTTTAGAGAAATTCTATGGTACCTGTAACACCCAAATCTTTATTATTATTATTTTTGTTAATGCGTGAAGAACTGCGCCCGGCGTGATACCCAGCAGCAACTCACCAAGTTCGAAAATTTCTTCAAAACCTGCACAAAATCAGCTTCCCAAACACATGCAATCGGCCCAAAACATCACATTTTCATCAAGCAACCCAAAAATCCCATCTTTTCCCACATGCAACCACACTCAAGAAAAACCCCAAGATTTTCATCAAACCCCAGAAACCCAAAACCCTATGTCCTTCAATCTCAGCTCAAAATTATCAAACATCGAACAATCAAGGAGTTTCTAGAACTCGTTTTCAGCCAAAACGCAGCAAAAACTAACTTCCCTTACCTCGGTACAAGAATCCAAGCTTCTAGGGAAGAGAAACGGAGAAGAAGATGGAAACGAGCTTGAACGGGGAAGAGAAGAAAGGAATGCCCGCACCACAACAAGTCCAACCCTAAGAATCAGCACCTAAGCAAGCACCACAACCACGAAGATCAGAGAAACTCAAATGGTTCAGAGAGAGGGAAGAAGAGAGTTCTTGAGTGAGTGAGAAGAGAGTTGGGGAAGAAAAGAAAAACGAAACTAGGGTCTCACAAGTTTGGGCTGCCTATTTCTTGGGTTACAAACTAATTGGATTGGAGTGTAGGGCTATGCCCTCATAGTTTACATATCAATTCTGCTTCTGAGGATAGAGACTTGTCGCTGAACCTCGTTACATCGTTATTTGTGTGTTGAGTATTTTATTCTCTTGTTTTAGAATCTGATCGCGATTGTTAACATTTCTCCAATGGAAACTTAAGATAGAAAAAAAATTACTATAGACCAAATGTTTTTCAATGGGCCCTTTAAAAAGTTATTGTAGGTCCAATCCACTTTGTGAGATTTTTGTGTTTTTTTTGAAGGCTTGGAGTTTCCTCCTTGTATAAGGAAGGAGAAGATGGTGAGATGTTTTAGTTTATTATGGACAATGTGAGACTTCTTAGTTGAAAAAAAAAAGACTTGAGTATTTTTCTTTAGAAAATATCCTAATTTGGGGTTAATTTTCATCACAATAGAGATGGATTTTACTTTTAATGTTAGAAACAACAATTGTAGATCTTTTGCGTAGCTTCCAATAATGCAAAGAACACCTCAAATAGATAACTATAGTTCAATATATGACATTGTAAACTCATGAACTTCAACATAATAAACTTGAAGTTTTTTTTCTCTTTCATTACCATTTTTTAACATTTTATTGTACACTTATATATATATACATATATATATATATATATATATATAATATTG